TTCTAAAAGAAACATAACAATATTGTTTTATGTACTTTCACTTTTCACGTATAGTATAACTACTCTTTAAGATTTAGTACTGTGTATCTCAAAAACCAGAGCTAATAAAAATTTTTCATTGTTATTTTCGTTTTTATCACCCCAAAATTAGTAGAAATTGACTAATTTAGTGTAGGAAACATTCAAAAAATATTTTTTTGTTGTGTTGTGATAATAAGCCCAAGAATATCAACAATGGAAATTTCATTTCATTTTCTTTTAATTGTAGACTGTTTCTCAGGGTGCAGCACATTCCTTCCAGTCGCTTCTAGGATCAGGGGCATCTCTGGGAAGCAGAGTATTTGGCAACGTAGCTTCAGGATCCTCAGCAGGTCCAACTTGAGCCTAGCCTGAATTTAGGATAGATATATTTATTTAACGGAATTCTGATTGCCATAGGCAGGTTGGAAATTAAATATGTCCTAATGTGATTGAATCATCACTTGGGACTACAGCTCAATCAGTGGTTTTCTTCTGTTCCCTCCTGCCTATGTTTCTGGACTGTGGTCACAGAACTCTTACTCGTATCTTGGAACAAGATATTATTATGAGTTCTGTGCCGTGGACACAAAAAACGATTGAAGTGTACTGAAGCTTTGGAGGTTCATCTTTTTTGTTGGATCATACCTTGCAGACGTCTTGATTTCTATAAAATATTTGACAATTGACTCATGAAACAGATAATCGTAGATTCAACATGCTTTTTTGGATCCTGTCATGGAAAATGCAAACTACTGTGAACTCTTGTGGAAACTAGCTCTTCTTTCACCAATCTGTAATGGAATCCGAGTATACTTCAACTTTTCATCAACTGAGTGTCTCATCAATCATTTAAAAAAGGTTATGAAGGTATTTTCCAAGTGGAAATTGAAGTTTTCTTCATTTTGTTACATTTCAATCGTTTTTAGAGCCACTGTTGGCCTGAGTAGCACAAATTTTCCAGGGGCACTTGAGAATATTAAAATTATTGAATCTATTGAAGCTTGGGTGTTAGTCTATTTGTACTACTTAGATGAAAATGAAACCTTGTAGTAAAACTGATTGCTTTGGGGTTTCATAACTACTATTAAAAGAGTTCTTTTTGTTATTTCGTGGGAAAGAATGAAATGAAAACCCTTCACTTTGTTCGAAACTTATTTAGAAAAGCCAGCTGATGTGAAATACTCAATTAGGTCTAGTTGTTTTTGTAAATGTGTATCTAGCTCATTAAAGTAGTTTTTAAAACATTATTCGAAAAAAACCTTTAGGTCTTTTGTAAAATAATAGATATAAGATTTTTCCTATCTACGTTGTATATATTGACTTAGAAATAAACAATGAAACACATATAAAAGCTCATTAATACGGTTTTTGAATGATTTTCACTATAAAGGGTTATTAAAACAGGTTACTAGATGAAACCAAAGTCTAAAAATAAAGCATTTCCCTTCCAGAGAGTGCTGTTTAAGACTGCCGTAGATCACATCAATGGTACCAGGCTGAACCACGCATGCACTGTTAGTTTCAACTATCTTCACACTACGATCCCCAGTGTATGAATTTAATTTAGGTGCGTGATAGTAGTGGAAGCTGTAGAGAGAAACAGAAAGAGAATTCTCATTCTGCGGTCGATGTCGAAGCATAGCTGTAGAACAATTCAGCTTGTCGGGACTGGTGATAGGTGAATTATTATTTAGGCGAACATAGCGTTTATCAATATATTAACAACAAGACACAATGACAAACAAAACACGAGAAAGAAAACTACAGGTTAACCTCGAGGAGCTAATGCCAGAGTTTTATCTCGATCAGCGGGGATACTCTGGAGCGGCCGAAATACCACAACAGAATCCTCGGCTGAAAAACTCTTGAAAAATCATCACTGACAACGGTCGAGTATACATACATAATAAAAAAATAAATAAAAAGCAATGCAACAACCACATTTCTGAGACAACACCAACACAAAACGACATAAAACAGACAAATGGCTTTATTTGTCATTCTGATGAGGTGGTGTCTCTTTTTTAATCAATGGCAGAAAGAAAAAGAATGAAAAAGGGTGAATTATTCAGGTACTCATCAAATTGAAATACGCAGTATTGAAGCCATCAACATTTCTTCTAGTGTTAACACTATCGCATTTGAGGATATGTATCATTTCGCTCAAAAGTCTTTTGGATAAATATGGTTGAACATCTAGATTAGTTGGATGATCAAAATAAAAAATGTGTCCATATTCTTTTTATGTTCAACGAGGACTGTGTGGTTTTTTATATTCAATTGCTTATCTCTCATGTGTTCTGAAACTCGAGTTTCAAGATACCGTCCGGTTTGACCTACATAGCATTTGTGACAGCTTCCGCTGTTCAATTTGTACACTATATCGGATTGCATTTCTTGTGGTGTTTTTGTTTTTTTGTTTCGAGAAAAAATGCTTTCCTACTGTACACACATAACAGGTGATTTTTCAAGAGGTATAGGATTTGATTTTCAAAACAACACTTCAATATAATTCAATGTTTGATGACCCATGCGCAAGGTCCAATTTCAGCACACTCTCTCTAACATATCGACCGGTATTTCACGTATAAATGCTTCGATATTGGTTTCCAGAGCGTCAGTCGTTGCTGGTTTATCCCTGTAGACATGAGCCTTAACATAACCCCACAAGAAATAATCCAAAGGCGTTAAATCACACGATCTAGGCGGCCAATTGACGGGCCCCAAACGTGAGATAAACTAGTCACCGAAAGCGATCTCAATTGGGCATTTGTTTCGCGTGCTGTGTGGTATGTGGTACGGTATTGTTGAAACCACATGTCAGGCATGTCCAATTCTTTCGTTTTGGACAACAATTTCGACAATTTTGCTTGTTAACGTATCCATTCAACCAGAAATAAGCCCCGTTGCTGAACACAATTTTTCGATAAAAATGTAATCTTCCTTCAACTTTGCCAGCGCCTATTCACCAAATGTTAGACGTTGTGGGAGGTCGTGTGGCTTCAATTTTTGCACCAGCTGTATCTTATGAGGATTTACACCCAAATCCTTTCGCAAAATTTTCCACGTAGTGGAGTAACCGAGGCCCAATTGCTGCGAACAGCGGCGAATCGACATTTCACGGTTATCACGAACACTGGCGGATACAGCCGCAATATTTTCTTCGGTCCCCACTCTACGTATGCGTGTTGGTGGTTTAATGTCCAATAAGGTAAACTGGGTTCGAAATTTAGTCACAAGCTTCCGAATAGCTCCCTCAGTAGGCCGACGAGACTGCCTATAAATTGAAAGAAGTGCACGATGCACTTTCTTCATCAAGCATGAATTTTGATAATGAAATTCAATAATTTGCAAGCGTTGTTCATTCGTAAGTCGATTCATGGTTAAATTATAGAAAAAACTGAACAAGTTTGACGTAGAGCTTTGAACGGCCTGCGTAGAGAGAGCAGCATCAAGATCCAACCTGCAGATAAAGGAAACGCTACTGTGGTAATGGATACCGTTCTCTACGAACAGAAGATCGAAGAGGTTCTTCAGAAGGGACGATACACAAAGATCGTACGGGACCCTACTGCATCAATCGAAAGGAAGTTGTACCAGATTTTGAAAAAACACCGAGTCTATTTTTCGGACAAGGAAAGATCATCGCTAACACCGAACCACAGTAAGCCCCCTCACTTGTATGGACTACCCAAAATCTACAAGAAGGACGTTCCACTTAGACCGATCATCAGCTCCAGAGATTCGGCTACTCAAAACTTGTCTAGATTTGTACTTTCCTTAATACAACCATTACAAGGAAAAACATCGTCTTTTGTGAATAATTCCAGGCATTTTGTCGAACTACTAGGGTCTTTTGAGGTCACACAGGAAGATCAACCAATTAGTTTCGACGTGGGAAGCCTTTACACCAACGTTCCGGTCGAAGAAGCACTCCAAATCATACAGAGAAAGCTATCCGAAGACGGGAATCTGAAAGAGAGAACGAATCTACCTATAGAAGTAATTATGGAATTACTAGGATTCTGTGTTCGAAACTGTTATTTCCAACTGAAGGACGAATTCTTTACACAAGTCTCCTCAGATATGATACACTTGTGCCAGCGTTTTTTTCAACCTCCGAAGCAGTTCTGATATGTACTTTTTGGTATGTTCTCAAGTTCTCTCAGAGATTCCATTTTAATCTCCTCAATCGTCGCAAAACGCCTAACTTTCATAAGTCTCTTGAATCTTGGGAACAGAAAAAGTCACAGAGGGCCAAATCTGGTGGATACGGTGGCTGAGGCATGATTACGAACAAGCAATGATGAACAAGCATTCGATCGAACTTTCATTGATCTTGGCTCTCCTAGAATTCGGTTCTGGTTATGACCCTTTTAAACAAATCCAACGTCATTCAACAATTCTTTAGCGATGCTCTTGCGACGGTTTGTTTGGTCTGAATTCAGCAATTTTGGAACAAACTTCGCTTCCATGGCATGAGCCAACCGATATGCCGACATCCTCAGCAACTTCTCTAATAGTTACCTGTGGTAAAAGTCCATTATATCTCAAACTGGAGTGAAGTAGATTTGCGAATAAACCTAAAGTCGTCTCCACGTCTCGTGAAAACCATCAATCAGTACATGTTTCGAACCTATATAGGTTCATCATCAGCTAATTATTTAAAAATTCAACAATAAAAGAAGAACAACACAACAATAGTTAACACAACGGAGTATAAAATACTCACATGGAATATTCTATGATGGAGAATAGAAAATTGTCACATGTTTTTAATAAATAAATGGTCACAGTGATATGTTAATAGTGTTAGTAAACGGGGGAAGTTCATAACATCCTAGCTATAAATAATTGAAATATGGGAGGTTCAGAGCCTTTATTCCCACTAATTAACATCAAAATCAAAAAAGGCCACATGAAAGCGAAGAATTCTAATGAAAGAGATTAGAACTGAATTAGAATAGAGAGGAGAATCAACTGTCAAAAATATATAAAGAAATAAAATCGAGATGACATAGAACAGTGACAAGAGATCTGCAAACACAGAACACAAAAAGGACCACCACATACATATCATACATCTATTGCCCATACAAGGAATGAAGAAAAGGTGTCAAACAACTGTACAACCATACTCTCAATAAACATAGTTTCAAAAAACTAAAAAACACGCTTTTATAAAGAACATCGAACTGAAAAGATAAAAATATTTCTGTTTTGAAAGCTTAAAACAATAATGAACAAAAAATACTTGTATTATTGTGAAAAAGCGACGGCCACTTGATATACAAAAAATATGACACAAAGCGCCCACGCTTTTTTAGATTCGAAAAATTGTGAAATTTGAACCTCGCGTGTATATCAAATGTTTACATGTCAAGACAGCCAGATGTTTGATTGCTTTGAAGATGCACGTTCGTACAGTGGCACACAAAAACAAGAGATAAAAAATAAATAAAAACAATAACACATGTGTTGGGGTTTATGTTGCAATAGACCGAAGGAAGCAGGTTATGTAATACAAGACCTTAGAAAGAGTTCAGTGAAATTTAGGTATATTAGTTTTGGTAAATATTCGTTTTGAGGGCAACCAGCGATTTTGAAAAAAATGTTTAGTGTACTTACGTATTCTGATGCATTGATTACGAATCCGAAAGAAAAAAGCGGCACTTTCCCTTATTCACAAAGTTACGGCCCTCCAAAAAAAGGGCAACTTTTCAGCTTTCTTTTTCACAAAATAAACTATTTAAAAACACAAGCATTTATTCACTAGGCCACCTTTACACCTCATTCCTCTTTCCTCGACACTTCTCACTTCAACAATCAACATGTTTCCAATAAAAATGTTAAAAAATGTACAGAGCTGCTTTTTGGTTATATATCTCTGTATTTTACGTTCTTAAGGTTAATGACATAGTTGGTACGACTGATGACCGATGTTGCCAATATTCCTAAAGTATTTAAAATGTTTTTTTGCCTTCACTCTTTAGATCGTAAATCGCTCACATCAAACTATAAATCCAAATCTATGAATTTGAAATAGTAAGTGGCGGCAAATACAAAACGATTTTTTTCTAAAATGTCACTAATAACTAACCTAGAAATAGAAGATGTCACCAGACGAAGCATTCGTTTTTAAATTAAGTTCTTTATAAGAAAAATGTTGATTGTTGAATTGAAAAGTGTCAATTAAGGAGGAATAAGGTGTAAAGGTGACCTAGTGAATAAATGCTTGTGTTTTTTAATAGTTTATTTTGTGAAAAAGAAGGCTGAAAGTTGGCCTTTTCTGAACTTTAAAGGGCCGTAACTTTGTAAATAAGGGATAGCGCTTCTTTTTTCTTACGAATTCGTAATCTT